CAGTCAAGGAGAAGTCCCCAGGAGCTGTGCAGCTGCCAAGAGCTCCCTCAGACCCCTGCAAAGTTTGTAGCACCCCCTTCTACACAGCTTCTCCTCTCCTGCAGCACCTTGGCTGCTGTGAAGTCTCAAAGGATTCTAGACAGAGAAGCCTGGAGAGCTCAGAAGGAGCTGAGAAAGAGCCTCTGGTTGCACGAGGTGTTTGTCCTTTGGCTCCTCATTTCCAGACCCTGTGCTCACCAGTCTCAGAGCTGGAGAATTCTCCCAGTCTCAGCATAACAAACCAAAAGTCTATCCATGAGAAGTTTTGCTCCTGACTACCAATTCAGTTGACACAGAGGTAGTTTCTGCACACACTCAGTGTCAAGTGCAGCTGCCACTGGACTCAGCACAACGAAGAGGGATTTCCCATCCTTTTATTGGGAAAAAGACACTGCAAATCCACTGAGGGCAGCAACCAGATGCAGCACCACCCACAGCCCTGGGTTCAGCAAGGGCAGGGGTAACACACACTTCTACAAAACCAAGCCACACCTGGGGGGTAAAAAAACCCAAACCTCTAGATATGAGTGGCTAAAAAAATAAAGGACAGTATTTGCAGCCCAATTCCTGGGTTTGGAAATAAGGGGAGTTGGGAAAAATCTGCAACCTGTTAGAAGCTGCTGCTGATCACAGAACATTTACACTAAGTAGGTATTTTCTGAGGAATGTTGCACAGCTCCAGAAGAGCAGCACGAAGATGCACAAGCTCAGCACATGTTGATGGCAGTGACAATGTTACCCTGATCTACATCACAGGACAAGCCATTAAATCAATGAATTGAATCAGAATATGTAACTTGCTGCATTCACTGAAACCACGGGGTAATTATATCAAGTCATAACTATCATGTAACACACTATTCATTAACACACACCAGTGAGATACTTAGAATATCTTCAGCAATGGCTGGAAAGAAACACAAGTTTTTAGGGAACTACAGGCTCAACAGAGCAGGTAGAAAAAAAATAAATCAATGATGACCTGATGTTACCAGCACTACAACTCACACTGCAAATGGGGGAAAAAAAGATAAAAAGAATTGCTTTCTTCTCCACCTCCACTCTGGATATTCTGCTCCATTTGTCTCTTCTCCCCCATCAAAAACAACCTCACAAGAAGGTTTTTCAGGCAAGTTCATACCAGGAACTCAGACCATCACCAGCCAAGCCCCAGAGCAGCAAGAGCTACAACTACAGGACAGAAATATATTTGCATGTTTTGATTAGAAATGACAGGAAACAGAAAGTTGAAGTAGGTGAAGTTTCACTCTATCATTTTCAACTTCTTTTTCACCAAGCAATACCTACTTCTTAAGTAATAAGGATTGCACTAATTAATCAATCAAGATACTGAAGTTAAACTAATGCCATTTTTCACATGGGGGCAAGGCCTGCATGTTCAATGAATTTAGAACAGAAATAGGTCTGGTTTGTGTCCTTGTGTTGGAACTGTTAGCTTTTCCTGGTACTTAGGTACCTGTTTTGGAGGAATGAAACAAAAAAGCAACTTCAAAGTCAACCTGTGCAAATGGCTGGAACACAAAGAGGTGCAGAATTCTGGATCCATGTTTCATTAACGTAATAAATATGAAGAGTGATGCGAGGCCTTTATTAACCAGCATCAAACCATCAGCCAAACCTCTCTTCCTCACCCAGATGAGACCTAACTACCTGCACAGGAACATAAAAGTCCGCACACAAACTTGACAAGGCCAAAACCAGGCCTGGCTGTGCAAGAATGCGGTGACATGTGGCACAGCCCTCAGCACGCTCTGCAGGACAAGCTGCTGACTGTCAAACTGGCCAAAAACACCTGCTTATCTCAATGCTTTGTTTTTAAATGTGAACAGGAGGCTGTGGTGACCTTACCTATCCAAGTCATCTTCCCCAACTAAAATAGGGGGGAGCGGAAGCGGAGGCAACGTTGAAGTTTTCAGGTGTGGGATAGCAGCCGTCACAGACACCTGTGGCTTTGTAGCGACTTGGACAGAGGACTGAGAGTTCACCTGAGAGGATAAAGTAGACGTCCTTGGGTGGGAAGAAGACGGCAAAGACGTTGGGGCTGAAGTAGGGACCTGAACAGGGGTCACTTGGGATGGTGGCAGAGGTGGAACAGCAGGTGACGGAGGCAAAGGCGGCAGCGGTGGAGTTGGAGGTGGTGGGGTGGTTGTCGGCAGAGGTGGAGGAGGTGATTTTATTGAGGGTAGTGGGGGTGGAATCTCCTTCTCTGCTGCGTCTGTCTCTTTTGGAGATAGGAGGTCCTCTACCACTGCTACAGGCTTCAAGTCTTTTGTTCCCACCTGTTTTGAATCTCTGACCGGGACAGGATGTTTCCTCTCAGAGTTCTCCTCTGCCTTAGCTTTTGTTGTCTCTGCAGGGGCTTTAGTCTCTGCATTTGCATACAGCAAATTAACTAATTCCGTATCTGAAGACGATTTTTCAGATTTAACAGTTTTGATGACCTTTTTAGATTCCGTTCCAGACTCCTTAATATCAGCTAAGCTGTTCTCCTTCCTCGACAGGAAAACAGGAGAGCCCTTTGCCTCCTTCCCATCCACCTTGGCCGCAGCTGCCGCCGCCGCCGCACGCTC